TGCCCGGGCGGTTTTCATGGTCCACAATGCGAAGACGAAACTTCACAACCGTTGTCAACGACTCAGGCGTATATCAACCCAAATGATGGACTGAGCAAAGGACAAGTTGCACTCATTGCAATTTTATCGATTGCCATGCCGATGGTGGTAATTGTTGCCGCTTGCGTTGTATACTGCATGAAACGTAAGCGAAAGCGTGATCAAGAAAAAGAAGATGCTGAAGCACGTAAGCAAAATGAACGTAATGCAACCGCTACACTGCACCATGCCAATTCGATTAATTCGTCGAAACGCAGCTCAAGCACTGGTCTCACATTCGATAACAGCAATCCGACAATCATCAAAAATACTTGGGACAAAAGCGTAAATAACATTTCAAGTTCGGCCAGCGTTGATGAATGTCTGATGAATACGAGTTGCTACGGTGCCAACTACAATGATACCGACTGTTTTTCCTCGTCAAATGCTGCGGCTGCCGCGCAAATACCACCATTACAACGCGCCAAATCACAAAAGCAACTAAACACCGATCCATCGTTAATGCATCGTGCCTCACAAATCCTACACACAAAGGACTACATGAGCGGAACGAATGGTGATCACAAGAGGATATCATACATTGGCAACGGTAGCAATTGCAACAGCGGAAATGCGTCCAGTTGTATGGCCAGCGATGCTCTGCTGTGGTCAACACCCGCATCAACATCACCGCGAAAACCATTTGGCCTTTGTAATCCATCTCATATGTAGTGCTGTGCTAATTAATAGTAATTTAAATCGATAATTATCCAACCGAACTAAATGCGTATAGACAGAGATTTTGAAAGCAAGAGAATTGATAAATAGATAATTTAATGGACAACTTAGATTTTAGGGAGAATAATAATAATGATAATAAAGGCGACTATACATTAAAACAACAACAACAACAAATTGAGAAAAAGAAACGAATAAAATTTCTTGCTTTTACCATAATTGCTTTCCGATAATAAATAATTTTCTGATGAATGTTGTACCAAACATTTTGCAAAATCGAATTTCTATCATTCAATAGAAGAAGACTTGATCGTAAATCAAACGGAGGAATGCATTTAGTGTAGTTTGATAAATTTAGCTTAGAAATTGAAAGGGATATGAACAACAAATTGTATTGATTATTCGAGTAAATGTGCATGTGTATGCACGTGCGCGCGCCAGAGAGCAATGAGTATTGAATGACATAGAGAGAGAGAGAGAGAGAGAGAGAGAGAGAGAGAGAGA